CAGGCATTGTGCTGAACATATCATAATAGTAGTGTTTATTTAGAACTCACTATAGGGGCACCTGGTATCAAATTATTCTAAAGGGAATGTTCTAAATGTCTCTTCAAGATGATTCTGATCCAGTAATAAACATTGGTTTACCTAAAGCCTAATTGGCAATGCCAGCATTCCAACTATGGTTCATGGAATATGTTTTTACACAGTTGTAGAAAGTTGGAACACTAAAATATGCTAGAGATAAGGGTGCATTTAACACTGCATCTGAGCAGATACATATAAAGCATGAATGCTCTCAAGATTTTAAGTAGCTGCTCTGACATGAACCAAAAAGTGATATAACTTCAAGCTGAAGAAACACCATAAAAATCAATGAACACAGAGCTACAGGCAATGATGGTCCTTCTTGGTTAAGAAATGCTAGGAAACAGCAGTGTTGGGCCGACCAGCTGGACCGGCTGCCAGGAGAGGGATTGTGAAAGAGCATTGTGAAGATGGATTCATGTTGACTAAGAGTTATTTTGGTCCTGTAAAAATGAACTGCTTCCTATATATTGTGTTGAACAGAGTAGCATTGAGTTCTTGGATATCTTTTTTCTCACTGATTTATAGATTAGCATATAGTAGATACTTAATAAATGATAGCTGAATAAAAAAAAAGAAAGAGGAGCCCTCCTCTTTTGTCATTATACATGCAAGATAAGCCAGAGTCATTTTTCCATTGCTCCCTACTTCTTCCTCATCAAGTTTCTCTTGTGGATTTGAAAGTTGAGCACCCTAAACCTTGACTCAAGGGGAGGAAGGAAGTGAACCAGAATAATAAACTTCTCCTTGAGGGCACCTAGCATGACAGTGTGATACAGTGGAGAGATTATCAGGTCTGAGAACACACAGACTGAGTTAAAATCCCACCACCATCAAGAATTTATACTAGAACCTCTACTGGGTCCTTTCATCTTTCTGAGACTCAGTGTTATCTCATCTGGAAAATGGTATAAAGTGGGTTTCAATGAAGTGCTTTCCCACTTGCTTCTATCTCTTTCATTTCTGTTTTAAATACATATTCCCTGTCTTCTTTCAGGAATCTGGCACTGAAAATGTTGCCCTTTCTTCAAGTGTGGGCATACTCAAACATTCTCATGCTTTTAAGCCCCATGCCAATGTTCTGGGGTTTGCAGTCTGCAAATTCAAACCAGATTTTGACTACACACTCACATACCACAGATCCTTGCGTGTCTCCAGCAGTTCAGACAGAACATTCCCTAATGGAGTGGACTGGAGGGTGTGGCTTGTCACCAATCACTAAAAGCTTCATCCACTGGAGACCAGATGGGTTTAAAGGCTGCCAGCTCCTTGGCCGTGGTAAAAGGGGCTTGTTAAAAGAAGGCTGATCCCACTGTGGGTGTAAACTCCCCTGATTCAGAGGCCCATGGTAGAGCAGAAAGAAAATTAGAGAGGGAATTATGTAGTCATACAATGCGTCCTTGCACAAATCAAAACCCCTCTCAGGAACACAGTTTTTTTCTTTTGAAAATGGGGATAATAACCTCTGATCTACTTATTTCCCCGGGAAGGATTACAATAAATCATGAGCACGCATGCTTTAAAAGCTTTACTGCTCTATTTACACATGTGTTATTATTATTTAATAGGGCTTAATCTGCATAACCACCCTTGGAATTTTGAGCTAGTAGAGCCTAAGACCAGGAGAATTGGTTAAACTAGGCAGGGCCCAGGCCCTCCCAATAAACACAGTGAGACAACTTTGTAACAATATAAACATGAGAGTCTGGAACAAAAGAAAGGACAAAAAGTGAGCCAATTTAGCTAAGGGGACAACCATTGCTCCAGGAGGGGTATAATGATCACCCTGAGAAAATAGGAAAAAAAAAAAAAAACATGTACCCAATCTTAGAATTAGTTATTTATTTTGTGAAATGTGTTTGGGCCATAACAAAAAATGGTGGTCTGTCCCTAAGGAGTTTCTTCTAACAAGTTTCTGAAAAAAAATCCGATGCCTTTTGGAGACCTCCAAATAACTGGTCTTAAAAAGAGGGACTTTCCAAAAGCTAGTGTTGGGGATTGAAGTCCCTTCAAGAAGGGTTGAACAATTGAGGGGCAGTTGAACAGATTCTGTTTTCCAGAATCAGCCTCAGAGGTTGAAAACAATTAGAAACCAACATCAATAGACCTCAAAGAAGTTGAAGGAACCAAACATATAAAACAGCCTTTTAGCAAGGGCCAAATAGTGCAGCACCCAATTCAGGGATGTTGAGGAAAATTTTAAAATAGTTAAGTCACAGGTCAGAGTCCAGTGAAGGAAGGCTAAGAGGTAGGGATGGATTGTTTAAACTCCTAGACACTAGGACTAGATTAAATATATACAAGAAACCTGTAGTCTTCTCTTGCTTTCCTCTCTGTAACCTCTCTGATTTGACTTTCACCTCTGCCTGCATTCCCCAGAGACCTGTGTCCACAAGATTCCTGTGAAAGAGCACTGTTGAAGTACTCCTATGTAGGCTGAGCAGGCAATCCTAACAATTTTGTCCTTGACTCCATCTCAGCCTTGTTATCCTCCACAAAGCTTCTGTATCCACCCTCTCTGTATCAGCTGATTTCTGAAAGCCACAATTCTGCACTCCATTTTTAATCTTTTTGCTGTTGTCTTGATCCTCATTTACCACATCACTGCCTTTCTTTAAAAATTTTAAAAATTTTATTGTGTTATGTTAGTCACCATAAAATACATCATTAATTTTTGATTCAGTGTTCCAAGATTCATTGTTTATGTACAACACCCAATGCTCTGTGCCCTCCTTAATACCCACCACAAGGATCACCCCACTGTCTACCCCCCCAAAACCCTCAGTTTGTTTCTCAGAGTCCACAGTCTCTCATGGTTCATGTCCCCTCTCCCCCTCTAATTTCCCCTCCTTCACTTTTCCTTTCATTCTCCTAATGTCCTCCGTGTTATTTCTTATGCTTCACAAGTGAAACCATATGATAATTGACTTTCTCTGCTTAACTTATTTCACTCAGCATAATCTCCTCCAGTCCCATCCATGTTGATGCAAAAGTAGGGTATTCATCCTGCTTTTACACCCACATTCTCCCTTTCTCCCTAGTCCTAGAATGAAACATGAATAACATTGCAAGTACTAACTAATTGTGACTGTGTTATATACTGTTTTGGAAAGGATTGTGTGGCTCTGTCTGGGCTTGGTGAGGGAGAGTACCATGATTGTATACCATGAGAGTGTAGGTTAATGAGGGATTGTGAGTGGCAGTATGTAGTCTGTATATTTGTTGACAGAGATGAGCCCCTTTGGACAAATGGTTTCAAAGCGTACTTTGTTTTAATTTTGGTTTATTTAAAATACTGACTTTTGGATCAAGCCCAGTCATCACCATCACTCTTACTTGTCCCACTCATGGGACAGCCTGTATTCTTGAGTACTGAATAATTTCTGAGGACTTCATGATACAGTCAGTACTAGGACTTCGGGCTTCTGACTAGGAGGCATATGTTGGGGGAACAGAGAGTAAGGACAGAGTGCAGAGGGTAGGAAAGCTACAACTATTATGCATTTAATGGTGTGTGCATGCATGTGTGTGTGTGTGTGTGTGTGTGTGTGTGTGTGTGTATGTCTAGTCCAGTGCCAGACCTGATAGGATAAAGGGAACACAAACTCACTGCTTTATGCAAATTCATCTTACATGCCCAGACTCAAATACTCTTGGACCATGATCAGAACTCCTAATTCCACAGTACTCTTTTCCTTGCTAGGCATTTTAGAGGAAAGTAAACTCATAGGAATTAAATTATTTGTTTGTTTGTTTGTTTTTTTTCACAACTAGACCTGGTAACTCCTCCCTCTAATTTTTAAATAGGGATTTCACATTCTTCAGGAAAATCTATTTTTACCAAATGCCCAAAAAAAGAAATGAATTCCTTGCCCTGGCTATGATGGTCCCCCACCCCCCAAAAGGCCTGCCCATAGTTTCATAAATTAAGCATTGTCTTCACCTGTGAATAACAGAAAACTCCACAGAGTTGTTTTTATTAGGGATTTTACTTTTCTCACATGAGAATTCCAGAGGTAGGTGGCTTTATGATGCCCTGAGATATCTAAGCCTTTTCTGGTCTTCTATTTAGTCTGGACTGCAACATGTGGTTCTAACAATTTTCACTGTCCAGTGGTGCTCAATAAGAGGGTAAGAGAAAGACAAAATTGGCCCTGTGTTTAGAGGTAACACATTCTCTTTCTCATGACAAAGTTATACAGTTTGGCTATGGTTAACCATGTCTTCTCAAGACAAAAAGATAGCTACTTTACATCCTGTATCACATACATGTACTAGATAAGAAGAAAGGAAAGGGCAGAGAACAGAAGAAATACATAAGATGAGTCATCCTGACCTTAAGAGCTTTTCTAAAAGCTCAACCTGGAGATTTCTATTACATTTCAATGACTGAACTCTGTCACATGCTCACTTCTAATTACATTGAAGACTGGGAAATGTATATCTTCTTTAAAGATGAGAAAATTTTTACACACAGAACATCATAATTCTCTTACTATGAAAGAAAAATAGACTAATACATAGATGGAATACATTTTCCCAACAATTGTAAGATTCAGTCATTCAAAAATATTTTGGGGGAACTACTACATGACAGGTACTTTTCTAGACAATGGGGACACAACAGTGAATAGGATAGACATGTTCTTTACATTAGGGCAAACTAAACTCCTAAACTCTATGGACCTAATTTTTCAAACCTAACAGGGTTGATAATGCCTGCTTTGCACGATTGTTGTAAAATATATATAGGTTTTCCATATGTATGTATGTTATACACACACACACACACACACACACAAATACATACATATATACAAATAGTGATAATACAAATATAAATAATGATAAATTATAGTTATACAATTTGTAAGTAACCTATACTTTTCCTATTGATTTGAAAAGCTGTCTTAGCCCCACTGGCTGCTCTGAAAAGCCATTTTGCATTGTTCCTGTGTCCGGCTCTTCTTTCGCCACAACCACCTCCGCCGCGCACCTCTGGTAGCTTTCTCGCCAGAGTCCTCGAACTTTGCTTTCTTTTTAATCTGCTGCATCGGATCACCAGCGTGCCCCATCTTGTCAGACGCGGCCATGGACACCAGCTCCGAGATCACCACGAAGGACTTAAAGGAGAAGAAGGAAGTTGTGGAGGAGGCAGAGAATGGAAGAGACGCACCTGCTAATGGGAACGCTAATGAGGAAAATGGGGAGCAGGAGGCCGACAATGAGGTAGATGAAGAAGAGGAAGAAGGTGGGGAGGAGGAGGAGGAAGGAGAGGAAGGTGATGGTGAAGAAGAGGATGGAGATGAAGATGAGGAGGCTGAGGCAGCTATGGGCAAACGGGCAGCTGAAGATGATGAGGATGATGATGTCAACACTAAGAAGCAGAAGACTGATGAGGATGACTAGACAGCAAAAAAGGAAAAGTTAAACTTAACAACAACAACAACAACAACAACAACAACAACAACAAAAAAGGCCACCGTGACCTATTCACCCTCCACTTCCCGTCTCAGAATCTAAACGTGGTCACCTTCGAGTAGAGAGTCCCGCCCGCCTGCCCAACGCAGGCAGTGCCACCCGCAGATGACACACGCTCTCTGCCACCCAACCAAAACCACAACGTGAATTTGCAACAGGGGAGGAAAAAAGAACCAAACTTCCAAGGCCCTGCTTTTTTTCTTAAAAGTACTTTAAAAAGGAAAATTTGTTTGTATTTTTTATTTACATTTTATATTTTTGTACATATTGTTAGGGGTCAGCCATTTTTAATGATCTCGGATGACCAAATCAGCCTTCGGAGAGTTCTCTGTCCTACTTCTGACTTTACTTGTGGTGTGACCATGTTCATTATAATCTCAAAGGAGAAAAAAAAAACCTTGTAAAAAAAGCAAAAACAACAACAACAAAAAAACAATCTTATTCCGAGCATTCCAGTAACATTTTTGTGTATGTACTTAGCTGTACTATAAGTAGTTGGTTTGTATGAGATGGTTAAAAAGGCCAAAGATAAAAGGTTTCTTTTTTTTCCTTTTTTGTCTATGAAGTTGCTGTTTATTTTTTTTGGCCTGTTTGATGTACGTGTGAAACAATGTTGTCCAACAATAAACCGGAATTTTATTTTGCTGAGTTGTTCTAACAACAACATAAAAAAGCTGCCTTAATTCTGTACTGAATTATAAATATCCTTTTTTCTTTTTTCCAGTTTTATTAAAATATAATTGACCTATAGCATCATATAAGTTTAAGGAATACACCACAGTAATTTAATATATGAATATATTGCAAAATGATTACTATGATAACTTTGGTTAATATCTATCACCTCACATAGTTACATTTTTTTTCTAGTGATAAGAACTTTTAGGGCTACTCTCTTAGAAACTTTCAAATATACAATACTGTATTGCTGGCTATAGTCATCATGTTGTACAATACACCCTGGTAACTTCTTACAACTGGATGTTCATACATTTTCACCATCTCCACCCATTTCTCTCACCCCATCCATCCATGCTGACAACTACCAATCTGTTCTCTGTTTCTCTAAGTTCGGTATTTCTGGTTCTGCTTATAAATGAGATCATGCAGAATTTGTCTTTCTCTGACATTTTGCTTAGCATCACACCCTCAATATTCATTCCTGTCATCATAAATGGTAGGTTCTTCTCTTCTGGCTGAATAATATTCCATATCTATCTATCTATCTATCTATCTAGCATCTATCATTTATCATCATCTATCTATCATCTATCTATCTCCCAAGTTATCCATACATCTGCTGATGAACACTTAGGTTTTCATGACTGGGCTATTGTAAATAATGCTGCAGTGAGAATAGGGATGCAGACATCACTTTGAGATATTGGTTTAATTTTCTTTGTATATACACCCAGAAGTAGAATGGCTGGATCGTATGATAAGTTGATTTTTAATTTTTCAAAGCACTCTATACTGTTTTCATGGTGCCTACACAAATTTACATGCCTAGTATGAGTGTACAAGGGTACCCTCTTCCTCATTTCCTTGCTGGTGTTATCTTTTGTCTTTTTCATAAGCTATTCTAGTAAGTGTGAAGTGATATTATGTTTTTCATTTGCATTTCCTTCATGATTAGTGATAGCGCTTTTTCATGTCTGATGGCCATTTGAATACTTTATTTGGAAAAATGACTACTTAGGACCTACGTCTATTTCTAAATCAGTTAATCTCAGATTTTGTTTATTATTTGTTTTTCCTGTTGAATTGCATGAATATTTTATGTATTGTGGAAATAACCCCTTATCAGATATGTGGTTTGTAAATATTTTCTCCCATTTCATAGGTTCCCTTTTTAATTCCACTGATTTTTTTTTCCTCTTTTTTTTTTTTTTTGGTCACCTTTTTATCTTTATCTTTAAAAACTTTTTTTAAAAATTCAATTTAGTTTAATATAGTGTATTATTAGTTTTAGGAGTAGAATTTAATGATACATCATAACACCAGTGCCCATTACATCAAGTGCCCTCCTTAATGCCCATCACCCAATTACCCAATTCCCCCAACCTACTTCCCCTCCAGCCACCTTCAGTTTCTGTCCTATAGTTAAGAGTCTCATGGTTTGCTTTCTTCTCTGTTGTTACCTTATTTTATTTTTCCATCCCTTCCCTTATGTTCATCTGTTTTGTTTTGTTTTTTAAGATTTTATTTATTTATTTGACAGAGAGAGAGAGAGATCACAAGTAGGCAGAGAGGCAGGCAGAGGGGGAGGGGGAAGCAGGATCCCCGCAGAGCAGAGAGCCCAGTTTGGGGCTTGATCCTAGGACCCTGAGATCATGACTTGAGCTGAAGGCAGAGGCTTTAACCCACTGAGACACCCAGGCACCCTTGTTTCTTCTTCTTTTTTTAAAAATATTTATTTATTTAACAGAAAGAGGGAGAAAGGGAGAGAGTACAAACACTGGGAGCAGCAGGCAGAGAGAGAGGGAAAAACAGACTCCCCACTGAACAGGGAGCCTGATGTGGGACTCAATCCCAGGACCCTGGGATCATGACCTGAGCTGAAGGTAATCATTTAACTAACTGAGCCACCCAGGTACCTTATCTATTTTATTTCTTAAATTCCACATATGAGTGAAGTCATATGGTATTTGTTTTTCTCTGATTGACTTATTTTACTTAGCATAATATTCTATAGTTCTAACCACATCATTGCATTGCATTGCAAATAGCAAGATTTCACTCTTTTTTTAATGGTTGAATAGTATTCCACTATATATTATCCATTCATCTATCAATGGACATCTGGGCTCTTTTCATAGTTTGGCTATTATAGACGTTGGTGTTATAAGCATCGGGAAGCATGTGCTCCTCTGAATCACTATTTTTGTATCCTTTGGATAAATACGCAGTAATGCAATCACTGGGTCATAAGGTAGCTCAATTTTTAACTTTTTGAGGAACTTCCATACTGTTTTCCAGAGTGCCAGCACCAATTTCCTTTTCCAGCAACAGTGTAAGAGGGTTCCCCTTTCTCTGCATCCTTGCCAACATCTGTTGTTTCCTGAGTTGTTAGTTTTAGTCATTCTGACTGATATGAGGTGGTATCCCATTGTAGTTTTGATTTGTATTTCCTTGATGCCAAGTGATGTTGAGCATTTTTTCATGTGCCTTTTGGCCATTTGTATGTCTTCTTTGGAGAAATATCTGTTCATGGCTTCTGCCCATTTCTTAACTGGATTTTTTTGGGGGAGGAGCTGAGTTTGATAAGTTCTTTATAGATTTTGGATACTAGCCTTTTATCTGATAAAACATTTGCAAATATCTTCTCCCATTCTATAGATTGCCTTTTAGTTTTGTTGATTGTTTCCTTTGTTGTGCAGAAGCTTTTGTTTAGATGAAGTCCCAATAGTTCATTTTTGCCTTTAGAGACATGTCTAGCAGTTGTTGCTGCCAGGGTCAGGGAGGTTACTGCCTGTGTTCTCCTCTAGGATTTTGATGGATTCCTGTATCACATTTAGGTCTTATATCCGTTTTGAATTTATTTTTGTGTATGGTGTAATAAAATGATCCAGTTTAATTCTTCTGCATATTGTTGTTTACCTTTCCCAACACCAATTGTTGAAGAGACTGCCTTTTTCACATTGGATATTCTTTCCTGCTTTGTTTAATATTAACTGGCCATATGATTCTGTATTCATTTCTTGGTTTTCTGTTCTATTCTATCAATCTATGTGTCTATTTTTGTGGCAGTACCACACTGTTCTGATTGCTATAGCTTTGTCAAATAACTTGAAGTCAGGAATTGTGATGCCTCCTTCTGCTTTTCTTTTTTTAAGTAAGGTTGCTTTGGTTATTTGGGGACTTTTGGCGTTTCATACAAATTCCATTATTTTTCTAGCTCTGTGAAAAATGCTGTTAGTATTTTGATAGGGATTGCATAAAATATGTAGATTGCTTTGGGTAGAATAGACATTTTAAAAATAGTTGTCTTTGTAATCCGTGAGCATTGAAAGTTTCCACTTCTTTGTGTCCTCTTCAATTTCTCTCATCAGTCTTCTAAAGCTTTCAGAATACAAGTCTTTTACCTCTTTGGTAAGGTTTATTCCTAGCTATGATACTTTTTTTAGTGCAATTGTAAATGGGATTGATTCCTTAATTTCTCTTTCCATTGCTTCACTACTAGTATACAGAAATGCAACAGATTTCTGTGTGCTAATTTTCTTTTCTTCAACTTTACTGAATCACTGCATCAGTTCTAGCAATTTTTTGTGGAGTCTTTTGGGTTTTCTATATAGAATATCATGTCAAGGGCGCCTGGGTGGCTCAGTGGTTTAGGCCTCTGCCTTCAGCTCAGGTCGTGGTCTCAGGGTCCCGGGATTGAGTCCTGCATCGGGCTCTCTGCTTGGCAGGGAGCCTGCTTCCTCCTCTCTCTCTGCCTGCCTCTCTGCCTACTTGTGATCTCTCTGTCAAATAAATAAATAAAATCTTAAAAAAAAAAGAAATCATGTCAAAGTATTACTTCTTCTTTGCTGATTTGGGTATCTTCTATTTCTTTTTGTTGTCTATTTGCTAAGTCTAGGACTTCCAGTACTGTTAAATAACTGTGGTGAGAGTGACATGCCTGTCTTGTTCACGACTAAAGAAGAAATGCTCTTAATTTTTCCCCATTTAGGATGATATTAGCTGTGAGTTTTTCATATATGGCCTTTATTACATTGAAGTACATTCCTTGTAAACCTCTTTGTTGAGGGTTTTTATTATGAATTGTTGTACTTTGTCAAATACTTTTTCTGCATCTACTAAAACATCATATGGTTCTTATCCTTAATTGTATTAATCTGGTGTATCATGTTGATTGATTTGCGAATATTGAACCAAACTTGCAACCCAGGAATAAATCCCACTTTGTTGTGGTGAATGATTTTTTTAAATATATTTTGGATTCTGTTTGCAAGTATT